TTCGGACTGGAAACTGGTTTCATAGTAAGACTAATTTTTAAAAGCTTGACACCGAAAATAGGTACCGACTGAGCTCTGTTTCTGCGATCAATGGCGTTGCTCAGAAAATATTCTCAAAATGTGTGATCTGTTTTGAATCGGGGACATTAGCCCGAAACTGATCTCTGAGACCGAAAAAGGAGAAACTGTTTTCTCAGTGTGTGCGGATTGTTCGTTCGGTCTCGTCTGCCACCGTTGAGCCCAGTATTTCAGACATTGGACGAAAGAAGTTCATAGTCTGTCGATAGCTAGATGCCTGTCGAGTTGCAGAGCAGCCGATGCATGACGCAGACCGGGTGTGTATGTGTGTGTGTGTGGGGGGGGGTGCGTGTGTGTGTGTGTGTGTGTGTGTGTGTGTGTGTGTGCGTATGTGTTAAGCGCAAAGTGGCCGAGGCGTCGGCAGCGGACCAGGTGTGTAGTGTAGACAGAGTGGCCGAGGCGTCGGCAGCGGACCAGGTGTGTAGTGTAGACAGAGTAGCCGAGGCGTCGGCAGCGGACCAGGTGTGTAGTGTAGACAGAGTGGTCGAGGCGTCGGCGCCGGACCGGATGTATGCGTATGCCGATTTGCAGAAATACGGAGGCGGCCACTTAGAAAATACTTTGAGACCTTTTCACAAAGAGACTCCTTGAGTGCTAAACCGAGCCTCCAAGGTGACTGGCTGAGATGTGTTTCTGCGGCAGCGTATGTCCATCAGGTTGCGTTCGGAAGCGCTTCTCGAAATGCGTGGTCTGTTTTGACAAGGGGCCTTATCCCATCTAACCAACCCCGCCACGTTGCCTCGTCAACAAGTGCTGCTTTATCTCGCTATTGAAGCGGCTCCCAGGCAGGTTCGTGTCAGGTTTCGTGGCAAGATGTTATATGCGATGACAATAGCGTGTCTGAACTACGCCTGCCAGACTCCGATCGAATCGCCGGCGTGACTAAATGGTCTGCGTTCCGTGTTGTACGGTACGGCGGTGAACACCTCCACGAGTGACCAGGTCGCCGGCGATCGACTCAGGCTCTGATGTCACTAAAATGCGCTTTAGTAAGCTAAGTGCCTACCGTGTTGCAGAGGGCCGAGGTGACGGCGGCGCACCTGGCGCCTGTAAGTTGCAGAGTAGCCGAGGCGTCGGCGGCAGGCCTGATGCGTGTGCATGGGTTGCAGATTAGCCGAGGCGCCGGTGGCGGACCCGATGTGTGCAGGGGTTACAGTGCAGCCCAGGCGTCGGCGGCGGGCCCGATGTATGTGCATGAGTTGCAGAGTAGCTGAGGCGTCGGCGGCGGTCCTGATGTAGGTACTTACGTGCAAGGGGTGTAGCGTAGCCGAGGCGTCAGTGGCGGACCTGATGCGTGTGCGTGAGTTGCAGAGTAGCCGAAGCGTCGGCGGCGGACCTGATGTATGTGCCGTTGCAGAGTAACCGAGGCGTCGGCGGCGGACCTGATGCATGTGTGTGAGTTGCAGAGTAGCCGAGGCGTCGGCGGCGGACCTCATGTACGTGCGAACATGGGTGGAGAATTGTTTTCAAAGTTGGTATGGCGCCAGTTGCTCGAAACAATACTATCGTGTTTTATTCTTATCAAACTGAAATCCTTAAATTTCGTAGCTGTTACCCTGAAAAGTTGGTATGGCATTGCCATACCATCTTTTAAGTTGGTGTGGCGCGTGCCATGCCTGCCATACCATATTCTCGACCCATGCCGGTGCAGATTTTACGGGGTGGCTGAGGCTATACGACGGCGGGCCTGATGTGTGTGCATGAGTAGCAGAGGGGCCGAGGCGTCGGCGGCGGACCTGATGCATGTGCATGAGTTGCAGAGTAGCCGAGGCGTCGGCGGCGGACCTGATGTATGTGCGTGATTTGCGGAGTGGCCGGGGCGTTGTCGGCGAACCTGATGTGTGTGCGTGGGTTGCAGAGTAGCCGAGGCGTCGGTGGCGGACCTGTTGTATGTGCAGTGCAGTGTATTGATGTCAACTACGGAAAAACGGAATACCGATACCAAACCAAGTACCAGCCTATGGTTCATTATACCATCAAAATACCGAACACATTAGGAATCAAATACCAAGTACCGAGTTGGTATCAGTATGGTATCGGTATACCGAAAAGTTGTATCCGAGGACATCTCTACTGCAGAGTAGCCGAGGCGTCGGCGGCGGACCTGATGCGTGTGCGTGCCGAGGCGTCGGCGGCGGACCTGATGTATGTGCGGTGCAGAGTAGGACGTCGACTACGGAAAATCGGAATACCGATACCAAACCAAGTACCAACCTAGGGTGCATTATACCAACAAAATACCGAACACATTAGGAATCAAATACCAAGTACCGAGTTGGTATCAGTATGGTATCGGTATACCGAAAGTTGTATCCGAGGACATCTCTACAGCAGAGTAGCCGAGGCGTCGGCGGCGGACCTGATGCGTGTGGGTGCCGAGGCGTCGGCGGCGGACCTGATGCATGTGCGGTGCAGAGTAGGACGTCGACTACGGAAAATCGGAATACCGATACCAAACCAAGTACCAACCTAGGGTGCATTATACCAACAAAATACCGAACACATTAGGAATCAATTAGCAAGTACCGAGTTGGTATCAGTATGGTATCGGTATACCGAAAAGTTATATCCGAGGACATCTCTACTGCAGAGTAGCCGAGGCGTCGGCGGCGGACCTGATGCCTGTGCGTGCCGAGGCGTCGGCGGCGGACCTGATGTATGTGCAGTGCCGAGTAGGACGTCGACTACGGAAAATCGGAATACCGATACCAAACCAAGTACCAACCTAGGGTGCATTATACCAACAAAATACCGAACACATTAGGAATCAAATACCAAGTACCGAGTTGGTATCAGTATGGTATCGGTATACCGAAAGTTGTATCCGAGGACATCTCTACAGCAGCGTAGCCGAGGCGTCGGCGGCGGACCTGATGCGTGTGGGTGCCGAGGCGTCGGCGGCGGACCTGATGCGTGTGGGTGCCGAGGCGTCGGCGGCGGACCTGATGTATGTGCGGCGCAGAGTAGGACGTCGACTACGGAAAGTCGGAATACCGATACCAAACCAAGTACCAACCTAGGGTGCATTATACCAACAAAATACCGAACACATTAGGAATCAATTAGCAAGTACCGAGTTGGTATCAGTATGGTATCGGTATACCGAAAAGTTATATCCGAGGACATCTCTACTGCAGAGTAGCCGAGGCGTCGGCGGCGGACCTGATGCATGTGCGTGCCGAGGCGTCGGCGGCGGACCTGATGTATGTGCGTGCCGAGGCGTCGGCGGCGGACCTGATGCATGTGCATGAGTATGTATGTGCGTGAGTTGCAGAGTAGCCGAGGCGTCGGCAGCGGGCCTGATGTATTTGCAGTGCGGAGTTGCCGGGGCGTCGGACGCATTGCAGTTGCAGAGTAGCCGAGGGGTCGGCGGCGGACCTGATGTGTGTGCATGAGTTGTAGGGTGGCCGGAACCAGGTGTTTTGTGTGTATCGCGTCGCAGGTTGGGGTGCCGCGTTGCACGACCCTTCAAAGCGTGCCTACCAGGCTCCCCGGTTTCCTTTACGATTGCGTGTGCGCTTAATATGCCTCTGAATAGATGCGCGTCAGTCGCCGGGGAAACCATCCTCATGGTGGCGCCGCGTCAGTCGCCGGGCGACCATCCTCGTGGTGTCGCCGCCAAGGAACCGCACTCCGCTGTACGTACCCCCGAGCCGTGCTCGATACGCCTCACCTGCCGTGCCGGCGTTAGTATGCCTGACCATAGAATCCTTGTAGCCGTTGGTACTCCCCACAGCTTCCCTGCCTTCTCGCTCGCTCTCCGCTCCACTCGCCGGCGGCCATGTCGGCGTTAAGGAGTGCGTGATCGGATAATCCTCGTAGCCGTTGGCACTCCGCACGGATTCCTTAGCTCACTTCTCGCCCACTCTCTGCTCCACTCGCCGTCCGTCGCAGTCGACGACTGCCGTTCGCGCCTCTCGGCTCTCCTGCCAGCGGCGCGCCCGTTCCTACACTCCCCTTCGCACCACCCCTAGTCAGGGTCTGCCCCGCGTCTGTCGGCGGGGTGATTTATCTATCTCCGACCCCCGTCTCCCTTTGCTCCGGTCACGTTCAGTGGCGCCCGGGCAGGGTCCTAACCTTCCATAGCCGCGTCGCCGCTATGAGTTGATTCTCAAAGGAAATGGCGGAACCCAACGAAGTGGGCGGCGACTTTACGGAGGTTGACCATTGACCACGTCTATTTTCGGCATAATGCTGAACCAGAACACGGCGGGCTGTGTTATCGCCGGAAGCCGAACAGGCGGGCCGCCACCAGCCCGCCACTTTTCGTGTCCGACCCGGACAGGTTCCTGATGGCGTGCGGCGCCCGGCGCCCGCCCCTCCGCCCCATCCCCTCCCCTCTGCTCGGCACAACAAAAACAAACGGCCGCGCCGCGCCGCGCCTGCCGCAGAGGCGCCGGTTTACCTGCCGCATCACTACATAGCGCGCCGTTCCTGGAAGGGGTACGCCGCGGCGGCACGGGCGTATGCACTGGACGGGCACAGGAATGTGCCTGACGCCGACATGAATGGCTTCAACTGCGCAACTGGGGGCAGGCCCCGACTGTTCCGGACCGCAGGCCGGGACTGTTCCGGACTGGTGCATAATTATGACGTGACAATAGGAGTTCTGTTTTTGTTGTCATTGAAGTGGGCGGGGATAATTTGGGAGGGTATAACGCGGTTTTGCGGCAGTACCCTTCTAGTCATGAAAAAGCCGACCGTTTAGCTGATATCTCTTACATGTTTTGAGCGAGACTGTCACTTGGAATTCCATTGCTGCAGGTTTGACTTCTTCGACGAGGACATGTTCCTCATGGGTCTGCAAGTTCCGCAGAGCGTCTCACCCCAAAATAAACCCAAATCACCCCACGGCTCCCGGGATTCTAACCCCCGTCCCCGGTCGGGATTCGAACCCGCCGTCCCCGGTTCTCGGCCCTCACCTGACTGGTCGAGCCGGGCCTTGGCCATGGCGGCCTCCATGGCGTCCGTCACCATCACGGAGTCGGTGATGCACGCCGTCACGATGTCGTCACGGTGGATGGCCTGCAGGCCGCGCGCCAGCGTGTTGCCTGCGCACGGGTCACGGCGGGTCACCGGCGGGTCACTGGGGGTCACCGGCAGCGCCGGCGCCACGGCCGGGCGGGGCGCCATCGCCCCGAGCCGGCGGCGGCGGGGGGGGGGGGGGAGGGGAGGGTGTCCACGGGTGGGGAGCGGGCGACTAGCGCCGCGCTCGGCACACGGAGCGCTCACAGCACTGACAGTCTCGGAGGGGCCAGAGGGGGCAGTCCAGAGTCAGCCGCGCCCGGGCGGGTCTCGGCACCACCACACAGCACCACACAGCACCACTGGGTCACCACAGGTCACCAAGGGTCACCACTGAGCCCGCCACAGGCTGGTCGTCCGAGCGAGCGCCCCTCACAACCGCACCTCCGAACGATCGAGTCCGATGGCAGATTTTCGCCCAACTCGTGGCACCCAAACACAAACAACAACCGTCTCACTCTGCACCGTCACACACACACACACACTCACACAAACCACCGCAGTGGATCGCTGTCGGATCGCCGACACAACACCACACTGCTCGCCGCGAAGCCGACGCTTTGCCCCAAGCGTCGGTTTCGACAGTTCGCGCCGGACGGAGAGCTCTCGCGGGCCCCCGTCGGAGTGTTGCACAGCGGCGGCGGCATCGGGGCGGCGGCGGCGCCGGGTGACGTCACACGCGACGGTGGCGCCCCTGGCGGCCGCCGGTCGAGTCACCTCCACGCGTCCACGCCCCGCGGGTGGCTCGAAGCGCGCGAGACTGTGGGGGCGGGCCGCAAACAGTAGATTTGACGGAATTCGGAACTGAAGTCTGAACGAATGTCGCACTGCGTGACGAACAATATGCTGCGCGTAATTTTCGTGTACGGTTCTCCAGGGTATTAGTCGTTGGTCGCTCGGCGAGCGGGAGGGCAACCAGTTCCGCCCCTGTATCGCGTGACCCCTTGCTCCGCCCAGTTACGCACGAGCGTACTCCACGCCGCGTAGTAGCGTGGGGAGGGGAGGGTTAGAATGGTGGCATGTGTAGAGGCTAGAACCGGTTTCCACCGCCATGTCACCGCCCAGCGACATGGAGCGGGGTCGGTGACCAGGGCGCAGGGAAAGGTCAGAGGTCAGCTATAACGTAGAACTTTGTGTCTCTCTCCCCTCCGCGTGTAACGACCGCACGACAGCGGCCGACCGCCGATCAGGCTAGACATGTCAAGGTCACCCGCAGTCAACGGGCTCAGAGGGTTGGTCGAGTGCGCGTCCGTGGCTGACGACAGTCTCGACCATGTGCTATGGTGCCGATAGACTAGCGTGGGTAAAAAGTTTTTGTTCAGGCTGCTGGGGTGTGTCATCTTGATATGATGCTTTGTAACATGTATGATACGCAACCTCGCTGGCAGTGGCCGAGAGGAGGGGGGGGGGGAGGCGGGTGCCGCCTCCAAAAGTTTATTTTTGTTGATAGCTGCGAGAGCTGAAATTTGGCAAGCCTGACCTTTGGTTCAAGCTGAATTTTTATGACAGCAGCTGTATTTTCACCCTCGCCCATATTGGTGTTTTGCCAGCGTCTGTCGTAAAGAGGGGGAGGAGGGTCCGTTGGACCCCTTTGCCGTTCAGCCCCTAATCGAGCTAGAGCTTCGCCGAAAAAGAGCGTGTTGCCCGTGACGAGAAGTGGCCGATGATACCCAATTTTAACCATCGCCGGCACAGGGGGTTGATGCAACCCCCCCTAAGGTTTTTCGCGAATAACTCGCGTAAAAAGCGGCCGATCGCGGCGAAACTTTCAGTACCCTCGCATTGATCAATTTTACACCTACCCTGAAAATTTTTGACCCTGACCCAAATGACCTTTGACCTGTGACCTCTTTTCCGAGACCATGTTTGGCCGGAATCGCGATTCGGCGTATGTCGGCTCGCATTAGCCGCGCGTTTGCAAGCTTTTCGTGGTTTCAAACGTTCAAACATGTGATTTGATGTTGCTCCCATACATTAGGGTGGGTTTCAAGGTCAGCTGAAGGTCAGGTCAGGTCATTGACCTTTGGTGACCTCGGGTGACCTCGGTTCACTTTTTCGAGTTTTACATGCTTCTAGGCTAGTTTTTGGAGCTGAATTTGAATTTAGCAACCATTTGAATATTTACGCTGTCAGAGGCGGTTGACACGTATGTATTACGAATACCCGTCACAACCCCTACCGGTTGACCTGACCTGACCTGACCTGACCCGACCTGGTCTAAATGCTTAAAGGCATTATCTCTGATCAAAACTAATACGATATTCGGGATCAGCACCCCGGAAAACCACATAGCAGCCACACTTTACGACTTTCTAACAGGTCCCGATTTTCCCGGTTTTTGGGTCATTGACCTGACCTGGAAGGTCACCCGATGACCTAGGACCTTAAAATTGGGTATCATCGGCTTCCTCTCGTGATGGGCAACACGCTCGTTTTTTTTTTTCGCGAAGCTCTAGCTCGATCAGGGGCCAAACGCGAGGGGGGGGGGGTCATACCAACCCCCTTGTGCAGTCGAAGGACGCAAAATGGCCTGCGCCGGCGAGGGTTAAGGTCCTAGGTCATTGGTTGACAGGTCAATATAGCTCAAAAGTCGGGGAATCGGGACCTGTTAGAGCTTCGTAAAGTGAAGCTGTTATAGGGTTTTGCTGGGTGCTGATCACGAAATTCAAGTTAGTTTTGATCACAGATGATGTTTTCGTGCATTTAGGCCAGGTCGGGTCAGGTCAGGTCAGGTCACATGTTACGAGTGAACCAAAACTACTTCTTAAATGTTCAACGGTTTCTAAATGCGAAATCAACTCCAAAATCTACCCTAGAAACATGTAGAACTCGAAAGAGTGAACAAAGGTCATCAAAGGTCAGTGACCTGACTGATCTTCACGTGACCTTGATACCCACAGAATCCATGCGATCAACATCCTTTCACATGTTTAATCGCTTAAAGCCACAAAAAGACAATAAAACGCGTTCTACTCAAAATACGCCAAAACGCAATTCCGGCAAAACATGGTCTCGGAAAACAGGTCACAAGTCAAAGGTCTTTTGAGTCAGGGTCATGCAAATTATAGGGTAGGCGTAATATTGAATAACTCGAGGGTACTGAAAGTTTCGCCGCAATCAGCAGCTTTTTGCGCGAGTTATTTGCGAAAAAACTGAGGGTAGGAGGTCTGTTCGACACCCTCCTACAAGTGCGAAGGTTAAGGTCAGGCCGTTGACCAATGGCGTCAAAAGTGAACCTCTGTTAGGCCCCAAAATGTCGCGACGTCGCAGCACCCTTCGTGCCAGGGGACTTTTCAACGGGGAATGAAGCTTATATGATCTAGTGCTATCTCCCAGAGGCCTCACAACTTGTGTGTAGCTATCTCGTATTTTTCTCAAGAGTCACCTGAAGTCAGGTCGGTCACGCAACCTCACGATTATTAATCAATTGGGAAATATGAAAACTGTTATTTTAGCGCCGGGAGCCATCTAAAGCTGTCTCTAGCGCATGAATTCGCGATTTTATACAATTTTTGCAAGCCCTAGCATTCAATTTTCCATTCTTAAAGTTAGGCGACTTCATTTATGACGTCACTAAGGTCACAGGAGATTTCACCAAAAAGTCCCGATCAAATTGAGCTAGCGAGTCGGGATTCGGGAAGCCACCAGTGGACTTGTAAGGACCTACCGCATCGAAGAAGCGATATGACCTCCTAAAGTCAGCCTCGTGGCCTGAGTGGCTCTGCCCTGACATGACCTGAGGTAAACACCTTAAATTGACCTCAACAAAAACAAAGCGTAAACTATTCGACGCGTTTGAGCATGCAAAACTCTTGGCTCTGTAACCACTTAAGGTGAAGTTGTTTACCAAAAACCGATCCCGCGACTTGGAGCACTTATACTGACCTCAGAGTTTATCGGTGGACCTGAGACATCCAACTCGGGTACCAGCTGCTGCATCTCATACGACGCACGCGCTCAGTTTTATCCGCAAGGCGCTAGCTCAATTAGAGGCAAAAAGACGGAGAGGGGTCGTAATCGCCCCCCCCCCCCCTCGGCCGGGGTATATGCAGAAAACCCAAAATTCCGTTGAAGGTTAAGCACTGAAGTGATATGATGCGAGAAGGTATAGGTAAAAACAAGTATGCACACGAGCGGATGTGAATTAAACTGTGTTTGAGTTATGCCTTTTTTATTATACATTCGATTTGCTTTAGTTATTGGTAAGAACAGACACAACCAAGAAGAGCGCCCCTGAAGAAAAGGTGGCGCGCCGGACGGGTGCGATTTTAAGGTCCAAGGTCAGTCGGGGACCTCTAAGTTCGGATCAAGCGCTGCATGTTAGGGTTAAAACTTAATTTAAAAAAATGGGAGCAAACAAGCATCCCGATTTTGGCAGCATCGTCATGCTTTGTCACGGCACTCATCCACTCCCTCGGCCGAAATATTAGTTCCTTTTTGTATGAGTTCTGACATAATCCCGCACATTATGCTGCATGTTGTTTGCCATGAAAAAAGCATGTTCAGCTACGTTCTACGCAGTAGGGTAGAGTGGGGCAAAGCGCCCACCCTAACTTTCCAGCCCCAGTATCTCTTTATCTTACAAATTTGAAAGACAACTAGGTAGCTGATCTGGTAGCTCATTACCTTGGCTTTCTTCGAATAACACATCAGAAACAAGTGGCATGCATGGTTTTTGAGATATGCCATCCGAATTGAGAGGACTACAAATCGGGCGTTTTGCCCCACCCATGGGGCATAACGCCCATATGAGTGGGGCATAACGCCCAGTCCTGAACGTTTCATTACACGCTCGGTACTCTGACAAAAGAATGCAGTATTTATCCATTCTCATTTCGTTTGACTTTAAATCGATAGATTACACCACCAAACACATCTTGAACACTGTTGTTACCACCCCACTCCTCATTCAGTCAACGGGCTGTCACCGCCTTAAAGAGCGGAGATTAGTTCGTGCGAATAAATTGTTCCAGGCGATACTAACCAGTATATTGCCTATTTCATAAGAATCCTGAGCATTAGAAAC